TTAGTGTTATTGCCCTTATTGCCGTTATTACCGTTATTGGTGTTACCGTTGTTATTAGTGTTATTGCCGTTATTGATGTTATTACCGTTATTGGTGTTATTGTCGTTATTACCGTTGTTGGTGTTATTGCCGTTATTAGTGTTATTGCCGTTATTACCGTTATTGCTGTTATTAGTGTTATTACCGTTATTGCCCTTATATGTGTTATTGCCGTTATTACCGTTATTGGTGTTATTGCCGTTATTAGTGTTATTGCCGTTTTATCAATTGCCGTTATTACCGTTATTGGTGTTATTGCCGTTATTAGTGTTATTGCCGTTATTGGTGTTATTACCGTTATTGGTGTTATTGTCGTTATTACCGTTGTTGGTGTTATTGCCGTTATTACCGTTGTTGGTGTTATTGCCGTTATTAGTGTTATTGCAGTTATTACCGTTATTGCCGTTATTAGTGTTATTACCGTTATTGCCGTTACATGTGTTATTGCCGTTATTACCGTTATTGCCGTTATTCCTGTTATTACCGTTATTGGTGTTATTGCCGTTATTACCGTAATTGCCGTTATTACCGTTATTGGTGTTATTACCGTTATTGGTGTTATTGCCGTTATTGGTGTTATTGCCGTTATTGGTGTTATTGCCGTTATTACCGTTATTGGTGTTATTGCCGTTATTGGTGTTATTGCCGTTATTACCGTTATTGCCGTTATTACCGTTATTACCGTGTTTTGTATATTGGTGTTATTGGTGTTATTGCCGTTATTGCCGTTATTTGTGTTATTACCGTTATTGGTGTTATTGCCGTTATTGGTGTTATTGTTGTTATTACCGTTATTGGTGTTATTGCCGTTATTACCGTTATTAACGTTATTGCCGTTATTGGTGTTATTGCCGTTATTACCGTTATTGGTGTTATTGCCGTTATTGGTGTTATTGCCGTTATTACCGTTATTGGTGTTATTGCCGTTATTGGTGTTATTGCCGTTACTACCGTTATTGCCGTTATTACCATTATTGGTGTTATTGCCGTTATTGGTGTTATTGCCGTTATTGGTGTTATTACCGTTATTGGTGTTTTTGCCGTTATTACCGTTATTGGTGTTATTGCCGTTATTACTGTTGTTGGTGTTATTGCCGTTATTGCCGTTATTGGTGTTATTGCCGTTATTGGTGTTATTGCCGTTATTACCATTATTGCCGTTATTACCGTTATTACCGTTATTGGTGTTATTGCCGTTATTGGTGTTATTGCCGTTATTGGTGTTATTACCGTTATTGGTGTTATTGCCGTTATTACCGTTATTGGTGTTATTGCGGTTATTACTGTTATTGGTGTTATTAACGTTATTACCGTTATTGCCGTTATTACCGTTATTGCCGTTATTACCATTATTGCCGTTATTACCGTTATTGGTGTTATTGCCGTTATTACCGTTATTGGTGTTATCGCCGTTATTAGTTTTATTGCCGTTATTGGTGTTATTACTGTTATTGGTGTTATCGCCGTTATTAGTGTTATTGCCGTTATTGCCGTTATTAGTGTTATTGCCGTTATTGCCGTTATTAGTGTTATTACCGTTATTGCCCTTATATGTGTTATTGCCGTTATTACCGTTATTGCCGTTATTACTGTTATTACCGTTATTGGTGTTATTGCCGTTATTACCGCTATTGGCGTTATTGCCGTTATTGGTGTTATTACCGTTATTGGTGTTATTGCTGTTATTGGTGTTATTGCCGTTATTACCGTTATTGGTGTTATTGCCGTTATTACTGTTATTGCCATTATTGGTGTTATTGCCGTTATTAGTGTTATTGCCGTTATTGGTGTTATTGCCGTTATTGGTGTTATTGCCGTTATTACCGTTATTGCCGTTATTACCGTTATTGGTGTTTTGCCCAAGATTACAATAATAATGACTTATAGAAATTATGTATGTATTGTTGAATTATGTAAATTACGCCTATATAAACCAAAAAACAACCACGCCTAGTTAGATTCAAATGAACTTCATCGAAGGAACTAGGAGTAACTATAAAGTAAGTTATATTTTAACGTGTATATTATATTTGTATTTCAAGCTCAATTTCTTGTATCTATAACAATTTTGATACTTATATGTAATTTATTTTCTATTTAGTTTGACTATATATGTGTATATGTGTATAATAAACATCACGAAATCGTATAGTACAAGTAAACGCTCCTGGTTAGCCGAAGTTGTTCTGGCTCCGGATAAAACCGCCAATACGTGCAAAACAGTCAAATTTATATCTGGAGAAGTAATCTGATAACAGTAGAAGAAGAACGGAAGACTACTAGAGAGTCAAGCTCACGAAATCGTAAGATACGCTATATCGGCAACACAGCCTCAGACGTAAAGCTTATCTGGACTGATTGAAAGCATCTCCCAGCAGTATTATCGAAAACATTCTTCCTACATACTGAGGAACTATTAATGAAGGTAGGAGAAAACCAGTTTATCAATATACGTACAAAAGTACTGTAGAAGATCAAAAGTATGGTCAACCAAGCAAGGTTCGAACAATTTGAAGGAATGCGTAATTAGACATTTCACTTACAAGCATTCAAATCACAAAATTTACATAAACGATAAACAAGGATATTAACGGATTAAGGAAAGAAATGCCGCCTAATATAGACGTGTCGTTGTTATCAGCAAAGCGGGACAATATGGTTAATTCCCTATATGAATTATTTGAATAATTTCAAGTACTTTACACAGTGGAAGCGGAATTTTCAACGTTAGAAAATGTGTACAAACGAATTGAAACGAAATATAGACTCGTGAGACAACAACAAGAAGTAATTATTGATAAAATAGTAGAAGGCAAAGTTAGCGATTCCGGTGAAGCGGAAAATATACTCGAAAGTAATAAGAAAATTGGTGCTCAAATAAAACTAACTATTTAAATTGTACTAAAAGTTTCGCTGAATATCAAAAGAGGTGCTCTTTGAATAAGTCAGAAGATAAACCAGACAGTATTGCGACTTTGACATTCGCTGTAACCAAAATGGCAGAGGCGCTTACTTCAACAAAAATCGATAAAACAAATTCTTTAGAAAAACTCTCAGTCCCGGTATGGGACGGCAAACGAAAATCTTATTTGACATGGAAACATGAATTTAAACATTGGATGGAAAAATGTAGACAAGACGAAGAAGAGCAATTACAGAGATTTTGCAAAGCTTTACCAAAATATTCTTTTGGACCGACCAAGTAAAATATTGCAAATCGGTAGAAAAAGCATTTGAAATTCTAGATAAAGAATTTGCAGACAAAAGAAAACTTATAGATGATTTATTAAACGAAATAATTTCCTATAAGCAAGTAAAAGGTGATTCAGCCTCACTTTCACGTTATGCTACAAAATTATGAGCTTGCAAATGACATGGAAGAAAACGGATGCCCGTAACAGATTCAAACGAAGCTCCATTTATTATGTCACAATTTCTGTCTAAATTAGAGTCAAAAGATAACGCTGACTTCGGTCGTGATATGATTCGGGAAGAAAATATAACAAATCTTATTGAATGGTTATATAGAGAAGCAAATTTAAGATCGAGAGGAAAGCGGTTTAATGCTAATGATAGTAGTAATCAATCTATTAGTCATAAACCAACAAAAATTAACGCTGTTAACAGTTCCTATGATAAGAAAATTGAAAGTGCTCATAAAAATAACTCCGAAAATAGTAACAATGCGAAAACTAAACAGACTGAAGAGGAGTCATGCCCATTAAATTGTCAAAGCCACCATTACCTCTCAGAATGTCCTGTTTATCAAAATTTAAGCGTTGATGAACGATGGGAAGTTGTTAAGCAGAATAATCGCTGTCGAAAATGTTTAATGACCCATCACACAAATACGTGTAAAAAAGCAGACGGGACAACATGCAACTAATGTACTAAACCTCATCATTATTCATTGCACAATTATCAAAGAAATTCTGAATCCGTGAAGTTAAATCAACACTTTCATCCATTGACATCTGAAATTAATATAGAAAGGTCACCAAAATCTACACTAGAGACACAAAATGGCAATGTTCAAGAGAACAACAAAATAAAAGGAATATGTCCTGTACAAAAAATTAGAGTAAGAAATAAAGATGGAGAATTTGTTGAGATTTTGGCAATGATAGATAGTGGATCTAACGTAAGTTTGATGTCGAAAGCTACAGTAAAACGACTTGGTTTAGAAGGACCTGAACTTCACATGACTATGAACTTAGCTGGAGGTAAACAAAAGTCTGAAAAGTCACGACAAATCGAAATATCTGTGGCACCAATTAATGATGATCAAATAATAAAAACTCTGCATGTACTTACCGTTCAGAAACCCTGTAGTGCCGCAAAGACCATATCAAAAACTGCGGTAAAAAATTATCCTCATCTAGAGAGTATCGTTGATAAATTACACCTCAATGGTGGATTGATCGATTTACTAATTGGCACAGATTTCCCGGCAGCCTTTATTGACGTTCATATTAAACAAAGTGAGCTGGGCGGACCAATCGCTAAGCGAAATTGCTTTGGTTGGTATGTTCTCGGTGTCTTCGACAGCGAAAACAATGACAACGTGTCAAGAACGGTTTCAGTCGAAGTTGGTACCATAAGTGCAGAAGAAGATATAAAGAAGTTGCTTACTCAGGATCTACTTGGTGTAAAACCTACCAGAATGTGTACATGTACGGACGAAATGTTGAAAGAGAATAAGTTCATCAAGTCCCTGGCAGATTCAACGAAGATAATCGATGGACGAGTTGAAGTCAAGATGCCATGGAAAGAAAGTGGACCACCACGTCAAAGCAACTACAACATCGCCTATCGAAGAATGCTTTCATCCGTGAAAACATTTAAAAATAAAAAGTGCTTCAAAGAAATCGAAACAGAAGTACAGAAGTTAAGAACAAGCCTTCGTCGTTGAAGTGCCAATTGATCAAGTCGACCACAGTAAACCTGAATGGTACCTCCCGATGCAGGCAGTATTTACACCGGAACGTTCAACAAAGATACGTTTAGTTTTCGACGCTTCCGCAAAAGGTCCAGACAACAAATCCCTAAACGATTATCTAGAAAAAGGTCCAAACTATATTAATAATATTCAAGATGTCTTGATAGCGTGGAGATGGGACCATGTTGGATACTGCGGCGACTTACGTAAGATGTTTAATCAAATTAGGATACATCCCGAAGACCAGATATACCACCGATTCTTGTTTCGACGAAATGAAGACGAAGATCCTAAGATTTTTCAATGGCTACGGTTAAATTTTGGAGACAAACCCGCACCGGACATTGCTACAGGATCTATTAAGGTATTAGCTAAAGCCTGCCAAGAAGATTTATCCGAAGCCTCCAGACAACTGCAAGACAACGTTTATGTTGATGATATCGGTGGCTCAGCCCCAACTCCCGAAAAAACCCAAAATATTATTACGGATATCGACACCATCCTAAACACGGGGAATTTCCAGGTCAAATCGTGGAATTCTAATCACAAGGAAGTTGACAAGTCAAAAGAAAAATGCACTACCTTCCTCGGACATAAGTGGAATAAAGAAATTGATGTATTCACATTCAAGAAAGAGCTCGATATTAGACCAGATCGCAACTTTGGGATCCTCTCCGACTGGTCTTGCCTGTGATGATAAAGTTTAGAGTGGATCTCCAAGATCTATGGGCATCAGGCTTTTTGTGGGATGAAGACCTACCAGATGCTGTCCAAAATAAATGGATCGACAATTTCCAAGTATTGAACGAAATCCCTAATATACAATTTAATCGAAAGCTCAAGCCAGATAATGCAGTCGACAAGCCCGAAATACACGGATTCTGCGACGCAGGAGAATTAGCGTATGCAGCAGTAATTTTCCTTAGATGGAAATGTGAAGACGGTAGTTACAGTTTTATTCCCATTATGGTCAAGGCATTCGTGGCTCCGCTTAGAAAAAAGTCTATTCCAAGATTAGAATTACTTGGATGTCTAGTTCTAACCCGTATTTACGCAGCATGTGTTCAAGCGTTGAAATTCGCTAATGCAAAAGATTGGAATTATGTACTCTGGACTGATTCACAAACCGTCCTCTCTTGGATCAAGACACCGGCAAGGAAATTCAAACCGTTTGTATCAGTAAGAGTGGCTGAAATTCAAGAAAGTGTAAATGTTGGAAATTTCAGATATGTTAAATCGAAAGACAATCCTGCAGACGCTCTTAGTAAAGGCATTTCCATACACCAATTGAATAATTGGATGGCTGGTCCACAATTCTTAATTGGTTCCGAGGTAATTGATAATTCAAGGCAAGACCCAAGCGAAAGCAACGAAGAAATGGACATTGAATATAAGAGTAAATTCAAGAGCGAATTGAGAGAAAGTGAAGAAACAACGAGTGAAAGTTGTAATACCGTTGAAGTCCTAAACAATGTTTTATTCAAACGATTACTAGATAATTGTTCATCATTTTCTAAAATACGAAGAACGATGGCCTACGTTCTCCGATTTATTCGCATTTTGCGAAACAAAGTCAAAGAAACAAATCCTATTTCTTGGAATGAACTGAAAGTAGCAGAAAATCTGTTGTTTAAGTGGTGTCAACAAGAAGTGGATATTAGAAAATTCCCTATCCAAAAATTAAAGCCGAAGTTCGATGAAGAAGGCTTATTGCGTGCACATGGGAGATTAGAGAATATTCGATCACTTCCGCAAGAAATGTGCAAACCAATTGTCCTTCCACGCGATCATCCTCTAGTTGTTCTGCTATTACGCCATTTACACGAACAAAAATGTCATTGTGGATATAAAAGCCTTGTACACGAAGCACGAAAGAAGTATTGGATAATTGGAATACGGAACGCCGCAAAGAAACTCACGAACAAATGTATCATGTGCAAGAAATTACGAAGCAAACCACTGGAACAGATAGAGGGACAACTCCCAAGTCTTCGCGTAGCTATGGGATTACCCGCGTTTACAAATACAGCCATGGATATGTTCGGTCCAATTCAGATTAGGATGAATCGTAAAACACGTAAAGAAGCGCAAGTAATAATTTTCATGTGTATGACAATGAGAGCCATACACTTGGAACTTGTGACGGATAGAAGCACCGAGACATTTCTAATGGCATTTAGAAGATTTGCCTGTACTTATGGACATCCTAATGTCTGTTGGTCTGACCGTGGTACAAATTTCGTGGGAGCCCAAGCTTACCTTAAAGAAGTTACGTCAAGTTGGGATACTTCCAAAATCCAAAAGGTTCTTGCAGAAGAATTCAGTTGTGATTTTAGATGGGAATTTAACATCCCAAAGGCAAGTCATCAAAATGGAGTGGTAGAAAGCCTGATCAAATCAGTACGTCATGCAATGAATGCGACATGTAAAAATCAAGCACATACTGAAGAGCAATGGCATACCATCCTAAAGGAAATTACTTACCTGGTCAATAGTTGACCGTTATACCCAAGCTCGGAAGATATATTTAATGATCCTCCAATTACACCCAATGACCTTATTATTGGCCAACATAATTTATTACCAATCCCAGAAGAAGAAAGCCAAGTCAATCCAAGGAATCTACTACGCGTTTGTCAAAAGAAGATTCACGAATTTTGGAAAGCCTGGATGAAGTATTTTGCGCCAAATTTATTGCCAAGAAATAAATGGTTTCATAGAAGAGAAAATTTGAAGGCCGGAGATTTGGTTTTGGAACTTGATTCAACACCAAGAATGCAATGGAAAATTGCAATCGTTGTTAATACTTATCCTGGAAAAGACAACATGGTAAGAAAAGTCCAAATTAAAACGGCAAAAGGATGTTATGAACGTCCAATTCATAAACTTTGTTTAATTGCCACGAAAGAAGAAATAGAACGATAAATTAAGCTTATAGTTAGACAATTTACTAAATAACATTTTAGAAGAAATCAACAAAAAAAAGTTAGTCATCACCTCCTAACTGGAGGGGGGTGTCTTGCCCAAGATTACAATAATAATGACTTATAGAAATTATGCATGTATTGTTGAATTATGTAAATTACGCCTATATAAACCAAAAAACAACCACGCTTAGTTAGATTCAAATGAACTTCATCGAAAGAACTAGAAGTAACTATAAAGTAAGTTATATTTTAACGTGTATATTATATTTGTATTTCAAGCTCAATTTCTTGTATCTATAACAATTTTGATACTTATATGTAATTTATTTTCTATTTAGTTTGACTATATATGTGTATATGTGTATAATAAACATCACGAAATCGTATAGTACAAGTAAACGCTCCTGGTTAGCCGAAGTTGTTCTGGCTCCGGATAAAACCGCCAATACGTGCAAAACAATTGGTGTTATTGCCGTTATTGGTGTTATTGCCGTTATTACCATTATTGCCGTTATTACCGTTGTTAGTGTTATTGCCGTTATTGGTGTTATTGCCGTTATTAGTGTTATTGGTGTTATTGCTGTTATTACCGTTATTGGTGTTATTGCCGTTATTACCGTTATTGGTGTTATTGCTGTTATTGGTGTTATTGCTGTTATTACCGTTATTAGTGTTATTGCCGTTATTACTGTTATTGCTGTTATTACCGTTATTCGAGTTATTGCCGTTATTGGTGTTATTGCCGTTATTAGTGTTATTGCCGTTATTACCGTTATTGCTGTTATATGTGTTATTGCCGTTATTACCGTTATTGCCGTTATTGGCGTTATTGCCGTTATTACCGTTATTAGTGTTATTGCCGTTATTACCGTTATTGCCGTTATTACCGTTATTGGTGTTATTGCCGTTATTGGTGTTATTACCGTTATTGCCGTTATTGCCGTTATTAGTGTTATTGCTGTTATTTCTGTTATATGTGTTATTGCCGTTATTACCGTTATTACCGTTATTGGTGTTATTGCCGTTATTGGTGTTATTGCCGTTATTACCGTTATTGTTGTTATTACCGTTAGTGGTGTTATTGCCGTTATTAGTCTTATTGCCGTCATTGGTGTTATTACCGTTATTGGTGTTATTGCCGTTATTACCGTTATTGGTGTTATTGCCGTTATTAGTGTTATTGCCGTTAATACCGTTATTGCCGTTATTGCCATTATTAGTGTTATTGCCGTTATTGCCGTTATATGTGTTATTGCCGTTATTACCGTTTTTGCCATTATTACCGTTATTACCATTATTGGTGTTATTGCCGTTATTGGTGTTATTGGTGTTATTGCCGTTATTGGTGTTATTACCGTTATTGATGTTATTGGTGTTATTGCCGTTATTGGTGTTATTTCCGTTATTGGTGTTATTGCCGTTATTACAGTTATTGGTGTTATTGCCGTTATTGCCGTTTTTACCGTTATTGGTGTTATTGCCGTTATTGGTGTTATTGCCATTATTGGTGTTATTGCCGTTATTACCATTATTGCCGTTATTACCGTTGTTGGTGTTATTGCCGTTATTGGTGTTATTGCCGTTATTAGTGTTATTGGTGTTATTGCCGTTATTGGTGTTATTGCCGTTATTACCATTATTGCCGTTATTACCGTTGTTGGTGTTATTGCCGTTATTGGTGTTATTGCCGTTATTAGTGTTATTGGTGTTATTGCTGTTATTACCGTTATTGGTGTTATTGCCGTTATTACCGTTATTGGTGTTATTGCTGTTATTGGTGTTATTGCTGTTATTACCGTTATTAGTGTTATTGCCGTTATTACTGTTATTGCTGTTATTACCGTTATTCGAGTTATTGCCGTTATTGGTGTTATTGCCGTTATTAGTGTTATTGCCGTTATTACCGTTATTGCTGTTATATGTGTTATTGCCGTTATTACCGTTATTGCCGTTATTGGCGTTATTGCCGTTATTACCGTTATTAGTGTTATTGCCGTTATTGCCGTTATTACCGTTATTGCCGTTATTACCGTTATTGGTGTTATTGCCGTTATTGGTGTTATTACCGTTATTGCCGTTATTAGTGTTATTGCTGTTATTTCTGTTATATGTGTTATTGCCGTTATTACCGTTATTACCGTTATTGGTGTTATTGCCGTTATTGGTGTTATTGCCGTCATTACCGTTATTGTTGTTATTACCGTTAGTGGTGTTATTGCCGTTATTAGTCTTATTGCCGTCATTGGTGTTATTACCGTTATTGGTGTTATTGCCGTTATTACCGTTATTGGTGTTATTGCCGTTATTAGTGTTATTGCCGTTATTACCGTTATTGCCGTTATTGCCATTATTAGTGTTATTACCGTTATTGCCGTTATATGTGTTATTGCCGTTATTACCGTTTTTGCCATTATTACCGTTATTACCATTATTGGTGTTATTGCCGTTATTGGTGTTATTGGTGTTATTGCCGTTATTGGTGTTATTACCGTTATTGATGTTATTGGTGTTATTGCCGTTATTGGTGTTATTTCCGTTATTGGTGTTATTGCCGTTATTACAGTTATTGGTGTTATTGCCGTTATTGCCGTTTTTACCGTTATTGGTGTTATTGCCGTTATTGGTGTTATTGCCATTATTACCGTTATTGTTGTTATTACCGTTATTACAGTTATTGGTGTTATTGCCGTTATTGGTGTTATTGCCATTATTACTGTTATTGCCGTTATTGGTGTTATTGCCGATATTAATGTTATTGGTGTTATTGCCGTTATTACCGTTATTGGTGTTATTGCCGTTATTAGTGTTATTGCCGTTATTACTGTTATTAGTCTTATTGCCGTTATTACCGTTATTGCCATTATTGGTCTTATTGCCGTTATTGCTGTTATTACCGTTATTGCCGTTATTGGTGTTATTGCCGTTATTACCGTTATCGCTATTATTACCATTATTGGTGTTATTGCCGTTATTAGTGTTATTACCGTTATTGGTGTTATTGCCGTTATTACTGTTATTGGTTTTTTTGGTGTTATTGCCGTTATTACCGTTATTGGTGTTATTGCCGTTATTACCGTTATTCGTGTTATTGCCGTTATTAGTGTTATTGCTGTTATTACCGTTATTGGTGTTATTGCCGTTATTGGTGTTAATGCTGTTATTGCCGTTATTGCCGTTATCGTTATTATTACCATTATTGGTGTTATTGCCGTTATTAGTGTTATTACCGTGATTGGTGTTACTGCCGTTATTGCCAGTATTACTGTTATTGGTTTTTTTGGTGTTATTGCCGTTATTACCGTTATTGGTGTTATTGCCGTTATTACCGTTATTGCGGTTATCGCTATTATTACCATTATTGGTGTTATTGCCGTTATTAGTGTTATTGCTGTTATTGGTGTTATTACCGTTATTAGTGTTATTGCCGTTATTACGGTTATTGCCGTTATTACCATTATTGCCGTTATTGGTGTTATTGCCGTTATAGCCGTTATTGGTGTTATTGCCGTTATTAGTGTTAGCAAATTGCTGTCTGTTATTGGTGATATTACCGTTATTGGTGTTATTGCCGTTATTACCGTTATTGCCGTTATTATTGCCGTTATTGGTGTTATTGCCGTTATTGGTGTTATTGCCGTTATTAGTGTTATTGCTGTCTGTTATTGGTGATATTACCGTTATTGGTGTTATTGCCGTTATTACCGTTATTGCCGTTATTACGGTTATTACCGTTACTGGTGTTATTGCCGTTATTGGTGTTATTGCCGTTATTACCGTTATTGCTGTTATTACCGTTATTCGAGTTATTGCCGTTATTGGTGTTATTGCCGTTATTAGTGTTATTGCCGTTATTACTGTTATTCCCGTTATATGTGTTATTGCCGTTATTGGTGTTATTGCCGTTATTGGTGTTATTGCCGTTATTAGTGTTATTGGTGTTATTGCCGTTATTACCGTTATTGGTGTTATTGCCGTTATTGCCGTTATTACCGTTATTGGTGTTATTGCTGTTATTGGTGTTATTGCCGTTATTACTGTAGATCCTAAACATCTACGTTTATAGTTCAACATGAGAATAACTCAGTCACAGCACTTAAAATTGTGTCTTCTTTATTACACCATAGTTTGCACTGAATGCACTGGTTTTCTAAAATAAATATTTCACTAGCTATTACTACCTACTATTACAATTTAAATATGCATGCAATAATGAAACATAATATACCTCACGTTGACGAATCTTGGCTTTAAATATAAATGAATCCTTCTACTGTCCTTGAATCCTCGAATATAACGTACTTCTACTGTCCAGTAATTTAAAGTAAAAAACTAAACTAATTATGCGATTTAGCGCTTATATATCTCAGTTCGCGAGCCCGCAATACTTAACACAAATGCTCAAACATAAATATTCAATAATTATTCATTTGGGTCTTACATTACCTGCCCCTATCAAGGTTATGCTATTCATTAAGCTTGATACCATATAACACTTAAACTAAATTAATAATATCATAGTGTTTATTTCAATAAGCTCCTTCGAGCAAACACAGTTTTCTTGTGTCTCTTTTCAATTTCGCATTGGATGTACGTACCAATACTTGCCTGACAACACCATACTTATCTGGATACGATTCTTCCACCAGACCTAGAGGCCACTGTCCACGTGGTTTCTTCTCATCCACGACTAATACTAAATCATCAACTTGTAAGTTACGTTTCTTTGTTGTCCACTTTTGCCTTTCTTGCAGAAGGGGAAGGTATTCTTTTATCCATCGTTTCCAGAACGCATTTGCCAATTCTTGGGCTTGTCTCCACCGTTTGTTGTACTTGTCACCATTTACCACGACTCCTAGAGGAAGGGGTTTGTCCGATCTGAGCAAAAGGAGCTTGTTCGGTGTAAGGGGGTCCAGGTCATCTGGATGATTTTCTTGTCGAACAAGTGGACGATCATTTAAGATTCTCTCTACCTCCGTCATGAACGTCAGCAGTGCTTCGTCATTCACAATTTGTTCTTCCAACAATGATTTTAGAATTCGTCGAATCGATCGTATAAGTCTTTCCCAACTTCCGCCCATATGGCTGGCTGCTGGAGGATTAAAATGCCATTGGATATAGCTTTTTCGCAGGCGATCTTGAATACAAGTTTGGGAGGTCTTGGACTGAAGTTTCTTGAATTCTTCTCTCAAGATGGAGTGAGTCGCTGTAAAATTCGTACCATTATCGCTATAAACATCACTTGGCTGACCACGTCGGTTCGTAAATCTGCTAAATGCGCACAGAAATGATTCTGCATCAAGGGAGTGAGAAATTTCAATATGTACCGCCCTCATGGTTAAACAGGTGAATAGACAACCATAGCGTTTTACTTGTCCGCGGCCTTGACGTACCATTATCGGACCAAAATAATCCACACCAACGAATGTAAAGGGTGGATTGGAAGGTATTACCCGTGCATCTGGAAGATTAGCCATAACTTGATCGCCCGGTCTCGCGTATCTCTTTTGACATTCCACACACGTCTTTATTACCTTTCGCACTTCGCACGGGCCGTGAATGATCCAGAATAACTTCCGAATAGTAGCCAATACTTGGCGCGAACCCATGTGACCTTCGACTTGATGATAATGTCGAATTATTAACTTCGTGATATGGTGCTTTTGAGGCAAAATGATCGGATGTTTCGCATCAAATGATAATGATGATCTTTCGAGGCGTCCTCCGACTCGCAATATTCCATTCAGTAACACTGGACTTAGTTTCCGTAAGTTGCTTCTTTTCAACAGATTTCTTGTTCGATCACTCTTAGTTTCAGCTGTTTGCAACGTTTCAATCTCCTCGGAAAAGTTCTGACGCTGTACGTATCTTACGATTTTGTCAGTTACAACACGAATTTCGTTAACCGTCAAGTGTCCTTTCGCGATACCGTCTTTAACTTTGTCAGGTGATTTCTTTGTAGAACGAAGGAAAGACAAATAACGAAGGAACCATGCAACACCCTTTGGAAGAGCATACCAACTTGAATAATATTCCAGGAATCTGTCGAACGCAGTGCCATCCTTTGACGTTACAATCTCATGTACTTGTGCTGTTTTTCTCCATTCTAACTGTTCGTCTGGCATTTCTTTAAGCCCTTCAGGCATTTCTGGCCATTTATCCTCTTCTTCACGTAAGAAATTTGGACCATTCAGCCACACATGAATCTTCCGTTGCTCATCAGCTTTCAATCCTCTGGATGCGTAATCTGCAGGATTAGATTTTGTGTCTACATATCTCCACATCGATGGCGTTGACATATCATGAATCACAGCTAATCTGTTGGCCACGAAAGTCTGAAAACGCTTGGATTCATTATTAATGTACTGTAACACCACAGTCGAATCAGTCCAGAATACAACACGACTAATAGGAATCTCTAGTTCTTCTTCAACTTGACGATTGAGCTTCACAGCTAGCACAGCTGCAGTCAGTTCTAATCGAGGAATTGTCACAGGTTTCGAAGGTGTTACTCTCGACTTAGCAACAATAAGTGAGACGATCACTTTCCCTTCTTCATCAACTTGACGCAAGTACGAAGCTGCCCCATAGCCATCTCTGGACGCATCCGCGAAATTGTGGACTTCAGCTCTGCAAAGGTTGGCTGACATATCTTGTCGGATGCATCTGGGAATGGTCATGGTTTTCAATTGTGTTATCGATTCTTGCCAGTTGCGCCACAACTCAATTTCATCTTCAGGCAAAACTTCGTCCCAACCGTACTTCGCTTGACATAGACGTTGAAGAACTTGCTTGGCCGGCAGAACGAACGGGGAAGCAAATCCCATTGGATCGTACATTGAACTAACCAAAGATAATATCCCTCTTCTTGTCTTTATCTCTTTCATTTCTGCGATACGAAAACGAAACACGTCGTCTTCCACATCCCATAAGACACCCAGCGCATGCTCTACCGGTAACGATTCGAAGTCCAAATTGACTACTGACGCCACTCTCTCTTTCTGAGGTATTGAAGCCAAGACTTCACGACTATTGCTCATCCACTTAGTTAAGTGAAATCCTCCTTTGGCCAATAACGTTGTTAACTCGCTTACAAGAGATACTGCTTTGTTGACTGTTGGAACCGATTTCAAGCAATCATCGACATAAAAGTTCTTGTTGACAGTATTCACGGTCTCTTTGTCGAACTCCGCTCCATGATCCTGTGCAGTCTTCCGTAATGCAAACGCCGCACAACTCGGAGATGACGTGGCTCCAAACAGATGTACTTGCATCTGATACTCTTCTAAGGGTTTTGCGAAATCAGCGTCTGGCCACCATAGGAATCGTAAAGTATCACAATCCTTGGGATCTACTCTAACTTGATGAAACATGGCCTCCACATCGGATGTTAGGGCAATTCTCTCTAGGCGAAAGCGGATCAATACTCCTATTAATTTGTTCGTGAAGTCGGGACCTTGCAGAAGCTGATCGTTCAAACTCGTATTCTTGTACTTTGCTGCACAGTCAAAGACAACACGGACCTTTCCTGGTTTTTGAGGGTGAAACACCGGATGATGAGGAAGATACCATACTCGACCAATGCTGCTTGATTCATTCTTTTGTAGCTGTTTTGCAGGTTCTTCTATCACTTTACTCGCGAACCCCTTCTCTACGTAATCTTCGATAACATTCTTGTATTTCTCTTTCAGCTTAGGGTTCTTCTTTAAACGCCATTGAAGAGATTTCATTCTTTGTTCGGCCATACTTCTGTTGTTTGGTAGATTTGGAATACCGTAACGCCAAGGTAAAGCGATTTGATAATGACCATTGACTAGCTTCGCTGAACTTTCCATGATAGACAAAGCTTTTCGATCTTCCATAGACATTTCTGTTGTTGATATTGCATCTGTCTCGCTGAACTCCATCTGGAACATTCTCTCTAATTGGTCTTGTAAGTTATTGTCCTCCCGATTGATAAAATGAACATGGAACTTCTCTGGTTCTTCGGTTCGAGCTGGCCCCATGAGAGTCCAGCCTAACAAAGTTTTAACTGCATAGGGTTCTTTCCGTCTTCCACGGCGTTGATCCAACACCCAATGTGCTTCGGGAACATCACAACCAATGATCATCGCGACATTCTTATTCTCTAGTTCAGGAAATTCTATTCCTTCAAGATGACTCCACTCTGACACGTCACGAGCAGTTGGAATGCAATTTTTAGATACTGGCAATTTGTTTACCGTCCAGGAACATGGAATGTCCACACTTTCGTCTCCATTCAAACTCGAAACCACCAGACGTACTTCTTCTCCATGATTAGTTTTTACTCCTTCACTTATGGTGGTCAGGGAAAACGTTGTAGGTGTTCCACTAATTCCGAGCTGCTTAATTAGACTGCTTTCACAAAGCGTGACGTCAGATCCATTGTCGAGTAGTGCGTATGTCTCAATTTCTTGTGTTGAATTTACTCCACGAACTTTAACGGGAATTACTCGAAGGCGAACTCCACGTCTACCAGCCCCAGTCGCAGAACATTGGCCGCCGTTGTTCTCGATTTCCTGCTCCTCTTTTTTCTCAGGTTCACTTTCATTGTTCTGTTTTTCTGTCTTTGGATCCTGCTTAGGTACTGTTACAACAGGATGTAAGAGACTGTGGTGCCGCTGACCACATCCCGCAACCAAACAGGAATCTCGTCCCCTACACTTCTTCACAAAATGTCCTTTTCGAAGACAAAGGTTACAGAGCTTCTCTTTACGGATTAACCGCCGTCTTTCTTCCAAAGACTGATTTCTGAATGCGTAACATCTGTCCAAGGTATGACCAGTCTTTTCGCAATAATAACATTTCACGCGGTTTAATTCGTCTCTCGAATTTTCTTCTGTACCATGGGTAGAAAAAGATGTCCCGCCACTGGTTCTCTTATTCCTTGGTTTCCCATCATCTTGAGGTTTCGAACCAATCAACTGACCAAACGAACTATTCGCCAGCTTCGCTTTCTTCGTGATATATCCAGACAGGTGCTTGAACGTTGGCAACGTCCCCTTTTCGAACATAATATATGCTTCCTTCGCCCAATCAGCTTGTAAATATCTAGGCAGACGTATGACAATCTTCTCCAAGTTACTTTGGGCGTTAATCTCCGATTCACAACCAAGTTGCTTTAGATTGATTTCACAATTCTCCATGTCTCGAGCCAATTGTGACAGTTTCTCGTTTTCTCCGTCCTTTATCGAACCACCTTTCGTCACTTTGTTGATGTATGCGCGAGTGATAATATGACTCTGGCCAAAGGAATTGTACAGAATTTGCTTCGCTCGTTGATACCCTTCTTGGTCTGGTAACATAACGCAATTACTAATGGCTTCCTTTGCTACGCCAGTGCAGAATTGTATAAGATACGCCAATCTAGCTTTAGAATCCTGTTCTCTTTCTTCTATATTGACTTTAAAGTTCTCTATAAACCGAGGATAATTCATTGGATTACCATCAAAGGTCAAATAATCTCGTTTTGGCATCTCGAATCCTTTGCTAATAGACGTTCCCAGTGTCTGAGCCATCATGATCAACGATTCTTGTTGGATCTTTAACATACGTTGCAATTCCTTCGGTTCTTTGGAATCATATACTGGTGAAGCTATGCCATCACACCAATCACCAGGATTGTCTTGCTTCCCTACGACTCTCATATCTTCTCCAATTGTCTTTGAAAGGTGTGAGCTTTCGTTTCGAAACCCGCGCTGCGGTACTTGTTCTGATTTCCGAATCTTGGTCGTGGACTCATCGTGGCGGGATAAGCCTCCTAATGGGATACCATAGCCAGGGTTCACACGAGTAGGTTGCAAAGGACTAACTTTATGGGTATACAACAGATCATTCCCCAATTCTTTTGCACCGTATTCTTTTTCGAGCGTAGAAAACCCATCACACGACAATTTCTCTTCTAATTCAGCCAGTTGGATTTCACTTTGCAGTTGTAAAAGTTCACGTTTTCGCTGCAGTTCGGCTCTCTTCGACTCAACGTCTTGCTTTATACGAACCAATTCAAGTTTCTGTTCTATATTTGCTGTTGACGTTCGATTTCTTGCATTTCTAGACAATGTTTCTTTTCCATTTCAGCTTTAGCTCGTCGAAATCTTGCTTCTGCTGAACGAACGCTTGACTTATTCATACTCCCATTAGAACTTTCAGCCTTCTTTGTTGGAGTCTGCGATATAGAGTTTCTCTTATTCTGTTCATCGTAAGGAGAACGCGTGGGAGTAACGCGATCTTGCATGCTTGGATATTCAAATTTTGGTGAAACTGTCAAGCCGCCGTGATCACTTAACCGCGACGTCTGTAATTTCGCTTGCTTATTATCGTCAATAATCTTGTTTTGAACGTCTTGTAGCCACTCTTCTACTCGATTTTCGAGCTCTTCCCTGTTCCTGCTAACACTGTTATACTCTCCGAGCATTTCCTCAAACTCAACCGCTTCGTTCTCAGTTAAACAAGCCCGATAATCTTTACAACATTTTGTGTAATCGTCAAATATTTTATTCGTTGAAGTTTTTTCGGCGGTTACGGCTTCGTAATTTGCTGGGTCTAATAGCAATTGTTCGATTAACTGCTGTTTTCGATTCATAGCTCCCAAGTATCCAGCACGAGATAACCGTAGACTTCAAAGCTTTTCCAAACGCGCCCCTTCTAGATCTCGAACAACAACGTTTCGTCCCGGTCGGCCGCTGTGGGAATCTTCGTCTGGGTCGTCTTCTCGATTAAACTGGTACATTGCCGCCAATACAATTCCGATCAAGAGAAAACTATTGTAGATCCTAAACATCTACGTTTATAGTTCAACATGAGAATAACTCAGTCACAGCACTTAAAATTGTGTCTTCTTTATTACACCATAGTTTGCACTGAATGCACTGGTTTTCTAAAATAAATATTTCACTAGCTATTACTACCTACTATTACAATTTAAATATGCATGCAATAATGAAACATAATATACCTCACGTTGACGAATCTTGGCTTTAAATATAAATGAATCCTTCTACTGTCCTTGAATCCTCGAATATAACGTACTTCTACTGTCCAGTAATTTAAAGTAAAAAACTAAACTAATTATGCGACTTAGCGCTTATATATCTCAGTTCGCGAGCCCGCAATACTTAACACAAATGCTCAAACATAAATATTCAATAATTATTCATTTGGGTCTTACATTACCTTTATTACCGTTATTACCGTTATTAGTGTTATTGCCGTTATTACCGTTATTGCTGTTATTACCGTTATTCGAGTTATTGCCGTTAAACTATAAATAGCTCTCGAAATTAGAGAACCAAATGAAAATGAAGTGATTTAAATGAAAAATAGTCTGTCATGATGAAGAGTGCCAAATGTGAATAAGTTGCATTTCTTGTCGTTTTCGGCTATCGTTAGCACCAGATGGCTGGAATTTTCGTATCCGTGTCTGACTGTGACAATGATTACCGGAGGTAAAATGTTTGGCAACAAGCTTGGTGATATGGGATCATATGATCTTACCGACCCTCCTATTCCATTGGAATTGTATACTGCATCGGTCACTGTATGTACTCCTCCCCAAAATATTGGTTTTATTCGGAATAAATTTGCTGTGTACGATTTTAATATCGATATGTTTCCTAAAAGAAATGGTTTGTTTATCACTTGGCAATCTCTGTACTCTGGAGGAATTTCCTTCAAGATAGCATCGAACTTTTATTCTCCGTGGCTCATCAGCCCTTTGGCTCAGTCCCATATGTGGGCTAACGATAGCCGTAACGACAAGAAAGCAACTCATCACAGACTTGGCACTATTAATCTGGCATAAATGAAAGGCTATCTTTTCACTTTAATTAACCTTTAACGATATGATTTACCATTTCGTTTGCATCAAAAACAGACTCGAATATAGTTACAGTACTTTGCTAAATCGGGCACAATCAGACGTCTTTTTAGCAACGTAATGACACAGAATACCATAATGGACCTGTGATATGGGATTCCAATTTCTTTTCATTTTTTCAGTGTATCATGTGTTTTGCCGCCATACTAAACATGTGTTCCGAATATCCCCAATTTAGGCCACCTTCATACACTCATACTCTCATTCTGTATGTTGCATTATACTGATAACTTTGTGTGAAATAATTTGACCAAAGACTTAGATAAAGTATGTTTTACAACGTTTCGGAGTTTAATTTTATTTAATTGCATAGGTATACGTAGTCGTATTTTTAAATTGTATCTTATAAAGATGGAGTTAAACCCCGAAACGTTATCAAAACAATAAATATTTGTAAGTCTTTGGTCAAATGATTTCAACACAACATCAATATATACTTTGCTACCCTCGCTACCTGTATTTTTCTATCTCTTTATTACTATATTGTAACTTTGCTACCGCTACCCATATTTCACTATCTCTCTATATATACCAATATATGGCTATGTATATTACTTTGCTACCCTCGCTACCTTTGCTACCCTCGCTACCCATATTTCACTATCTCTCTATATATGACAATATATGGCTATGTATATTACTTTGCTACCTCGCTACCTTTGCTACCCTCGCTACCCATATTTCACTATCTCTCTATATATGACAATATATGGCTATGTATATTACTTTGCTACCCTCGCTACCTTTGCTACCCTCGCTACCCATATTTCACTATCTCTCTATATATGACAATATATGGCTATGTATATTACTTTGCTACCCTCGCTACCTTTGCTACCCTCGCTACCCATATTTCACTATCTCTCTATATGACAATATATGGCTATGTATATTACTTTGCTACCCGCTACCTTTGCTACCCTCGCTACCCATATTTCACTATCTCTCTATATATGACAATATATGGCTATGTATATTACTTTGCTACTCTCGCTACCCTCGCTACCCATATTCACTATCTCTATATGTATGTCTGCAACCCATATTATGTATATGTATATCTATATGTATATCTATATATGTATATCTATATGTATATCTATATGTATATCTATATGTATATGTATATCTATCTATATCTATGTCTATATGTATATCTATACCGGGTATGTATATCTATATGTATATTTATATCTATGTCTATATGTATATCTATACCGGGTATGTATATCTATGTCTATATATAACATGCACACTGCCCTCTAAAATTTGCGGGTAGATGCAAACGCGATCAGATAATAATTATGATATCAGTTATATTTAAAATATTATCAAAAAGCTTGTTAACCAATCAGGAGAGACCTTGTTGGAGCTGCTACACCACCCCGAGTATTGGTCGAATCATAACTTTATAGCCCTTCAGTAAAGCTTCATGGTGCGATTCAAAGGTTTAAGTAAACCCAATAATTTGTTCGAGCATGCTACTGTTGAAAGAATGTGAGGTTTCCATGACAGGTCATCAAAAAGAACCACTCTAAGATGTTTATGAGTAGATACTTGATCAATAATGTTGTTGTTGATAGAATAGCTGCATCTAGCACGATTTTTTGCTCTGGTAAATTTCATGGCCTTGCCTTTATTAGCATTGTTTTTCAAAAGCCACGAGCCACACCAACCATTAACTTGATTCAGGCTCTCCTGTGCAGACACTGAAGTTGAAGATGGACGATAATGGTCATATATTAGGGCATCATCTGCAAACAATATTGAATGACTAGATAGACTTCCAGGTATGTCATTAACATACAATATAAATAACAGGGGGCCCAGGATGCTGCCCTGAGGAACTCCAGATTTTACAGGTACCCAATCAGATTGACAGCCCTCTACCACGACTCGCTGAAACCGCCAATGAGGAAAGCAGATAACCATGAATGGAGTGGGCCAACAATGCCGAATTGTTTCAGCTTGAGTAGAAGTCGATTATGAGGAACTGAGTCAAATGCCTTTTGAGAGTCCAAGAAAAGTACATCCGTAGAGTTGTGTTGATCCAAAGCTTTTGCAAAAACATGAAAAAGATGAATCAGCTGGGTTGTACAAGAATAGCCAGGGCGAAAACCATACTGATGATCACTGATCAGATTGTTTGATTCTACAAATCCAAATATGTGGTTATAGACGAGTCTTTCCAAGGTTTTTACTATCAGACTTGTTAGAGAAATTGGGCGATAGTTCTCAACCAGTTCTTTTTTACCTTTTTTAAACACAGGTGTTACATGTGCAGATTTCCATTCAATCAGTAAGACACCGCAATGTAACGAGTAATTAAACAAATCTGTTAAAGGACCAGATATAGCTGGGGCAGCTTCACGAAGTAAACAAGCAGAAATTCCATCTGGGCCATGGGCTTTAGAGACGTTCAAACCAATCAGTAATTTTTCAACCTCAGACTTACAGCATTTTAGAGGTGAAATAATTTGGTTTGTACAAGAGCTACCATCGTCGCGCAGTTGATCGGCTATATATAGAAGAGTATAGAAGGGCTTCTGTAAACACTGAAGCAAAGAACTCGTTGAACAGCTGGGCTTTATCAAATTCGGTTGTAGCTTTTGTGTTTCCAAAGGAAACCTCAGACGGAGGAGATCTTGATTTCGTCTTAGACCTATATTATGTCCAGAAACGCTTAGGATTTTCGCCGTTTTTGAGAGACTGGATATGATGCCAATAGCTCTTGTTGAGTTCAGACTTAACCTTGTTCCTACACTGTTTATATTTATACCAGTCAGACTGAAGTTGAGAAGATCCGGCCTTCTTCGATAGTCGCTTTCTTTTGAGAAAAAGACGACAAATAGCAGAAGTTAACCACGGGACGTTTTTCTTCTTTTTGGTTAAATGTTGCTTGTTGATGTTGTTATTAACAGCAGCAAAGAAGAGCTCCTTCCATTTAGCCCAAATTTGTTCAATCTTGTTTTCTAAAAATACACTGTCCCATGGAGCTATAGATAGATCGGCCCGAAAGCCATCCCAATTTACATTTTTATAATCATATGCGATTTTAGGTGCTTAACGAGGACGAGGAATGTAAACATTGATATGAAAGAATGAAACGTTATGATCTGATAATCCAAGACCACAGTCTATATCAATATTTGATATAATTTCTGGAGTGTTGGTTAATATTAAGTCCAATAGAGCATTGCCTCTAGTTGGATTTCCTACCAGTTGTGAGAGACCACAATAGTTTACAATAGAGTCACAAAAATAGTCACTTAGAGAATCTTGTTGAATTGGTGATGTTATGTTCCAATCAATATTAGGCAAATTGAAGTCCGCAAGAAGGATAATTTTACTCGAAGGTGGAAGTCTGCTAAGAGAGTTATTTAACAGCGCTAAATAATCCAAGTTACTTGTAGGAGGTCGATAAAATACACCAATGAAGTAAGATAAGCCAGCATGCATACTCAACTCACACCAGAGTATTTTGCAATCAGTTTCAAGATCATTTCGCCGTTGGCAATGGATATTTTCTTTAGTGGCCAATAAGACACCGCCTCCTCTCCCTAGTCAATCTCTTGTATGAATATTATAACCTGAAGATAAGATTTCGTTATCCAGAATATCAGGATTTAGCCATGTTTCAGTTATAGCAAGCAGCTCAACTTCTTTTGTATTCACTAAGGCTTGCAACTCAATTCGCTTGTTGACGA